TTCTGGCCAACAGAAATGTGAGTGGAAATGTTATGTAACAGATTCTGGAAACTTTTTTTTTTTTTTTTTAAAGACAGAGTCTGGCTGGATGCAGTGCCTGTACTCCTAGCACTTTGGGAGGCTGAGGTTGGGCAGATTGCCTGAGCTCAGGAGTTACAGAAACAGCCTGAGCAACATGGTGAAACCCTGTCTCTACTAAAATAAAAAAAATTAGCTGGATGTGGCAGTGTGCGCTGTAGTCCCAGCTACTCTGGAGGCTGAGGCAGGAGAATTGCTTGAATCATGGAGGCAGAGGTTGCAGTGTAGCTGAGATAGTGCCACTGCACTTCAGCATTGGGCAAAAGAGCAAGACTGCCTATCTCCAAAAAAAAAAAAAAAAGTTGCTCTGATCGCCCCAGGCTGAAGTGCAGTGACAGGATCTTGGCATCACTGCAACCTCCACTCTCCCAGTTTCAAGCAATTCTCATGCCTCAGCCTCCTAAGTAGCTGGGATATGGGTGTGAGCCACCACATCCAGCTAAATTTTGATTTTTTATTTTTTTAGTTGACTCGGGTTTTACCGTGTTAGCCAGGCTGGTTTTAACTCCTCAACTCCTGGCTCAAGTGATCCACTCACCTCAGTCTCCCAAATTGCTGGCATTACAGGTGTGAGCCACTGTGCCTGGTTGACAGTTTTTTTTTTTTTTTTTTTTTTTTTTTTTCTTTCAGCCCTTTCAATATTATCCCTTGCTTTCTGACTTAAATGATGTCTGATGACAAATCAGCCATTAATCATATTGAGGATGCTTTGTTACATGTTGAATCACTTTCTCTGTTGCTGCTTTCAAGATCCTTTCTTTGTCTTTTGACAGTTTATGATGTATCTTGGTGTGAATTTGAGTTTATCCTGTTTGAAGTTTGTTGCTTGGATGTGTAGATTTATGTCTTATGTCAAATGTGGGAAGTTTTCAACTATTATTTATTTAAACATTCTCTCCGTCTTTATCTTTCTTTCCTCTTTCCTGGAACTTGTGTTTTACATGTATTGGGATGCCTGATGGTGTACCACAGATCTCTTAGGCTCTGTTCAGTTTTCTTCACTCTTTTTGTTCCTCAAACTGGATAATATTAACTGATCTACCTTAAAGTTCATGGAATCTTCCTTCTTCCTGCCTGAATATGCTGATGAGTCTTTCTAATGAAATTTTCACTTCAGTTATTGTATTTTCAACCCCACATTTCCATTTTTTAAAAGTTTGTATCTCTTTAGTGATATTCTCTATTTGATCAGGCATCATTAAACCTTTTAGTTTTTTATACCTGGTTTCCTTGAGCTCTTTGAACATATTTAAAACAGGTGGTTTAAGTTCCTTGGCTAGTAAATTCAGCATTTGGGTTTTCTCAGATACAACTTTTACTGAATTCTTTCTTCTTCTTCTTCTTTTTTTTTTTCCTGTAGATGGACTATACTTTCTTGTTCCATAATTTTTACTGATGTCTTTTTTTTTTTTCCCTGTTTGTGGACCATACCTTCTTGTTCCTTTGAATGCCTCATTACTGTTTTTCTTTGTTGAAAACTGGATATTTTGAATAATATAATGTGGCAACTCTGGAAATCAGATTCGACCTCCTTCTTAAGGTTTATTTTTGCCACTGCTTGTTGTAGTTGTAGTTGTGTGTTTAGTGACTTTACTGAACCAAGTCTGCATTTTTTGCTATGTGTGGCCAATGCTGTCTCTGTTCTATTAGTTTAGTAGTCGGCTAACGATTGAACAGTTGCCTTAGATGCATGGAATTTAAAACTCTTCCAGACTTTGTGGAAGGGCCATGTGTATGTTTGGGGGCATGCCTTCCAACACTCAGCCAGACAATCGATGACTCTGCATTTGCCTTCACTTCCTGCTTGTGCACAGCCATGAGGTCAGTCAGAGAGAAGGTCTTAGGGCTTTCTCTGGTCTTTTCTGAGTATGTACATTGCCTTGGATATGCATGTGGACATCTAGATTCCCAGAAGTAATCAAAGCCCATATGTAAATCTCATTCTCCTGGCTTTCTTCTCAAGATTTTGATTAATGTATTGTTTGCTACAAATGTTATCCATTGTCTCAGGCAGCAACTAAAACGTTTGCCTGGAAATATATTTGACAAATGACACGTGGGTAGTGGATTTAATATTTAGTTACTCAATTAGGCAAAATAAAGATAAGCCTTTTGAGTGGGTCTTTTGGGAAGCCATCAGACAGATCATATAAAGACAATTTTTTTCAAGTGAGGTCTGTCTGTTCTTTACGTTACCAAGAATGTGGGCTATTATTTTTAAGGATATTGCTTAACTGGAGAGTAAGGGATGGGTCTAGGGAAAGATAAAATGCCACAAAGCTCACTGTTATTACCAATATTCATTTGTTTTTCTTGAAAACAGAAAGTTCCCTTGTACCTCTTCCCAATCCATTCATCTCTCCCCTCCAATCAGAAGCAATATGGATGTGATTTCTATCGCCATAGGCTAACTTTACCTATTCTGAAACTTCATGTAAGTGGAATCATAAATTATGTACGTTTAAACAAATTAACCTTTTTATTTTGAGACAATTTTATATGGATTCACAGGCAATTATAAACAATAATAGAGAGATTCTGTGTAAAATTTACCCAGTTTTCCCCAATAGTAATGTATCGCAAAACCATAGTACAACATCAAAACAAGGATACTGACATTAATACAGTCAAGATACAGAACATTTCTATTACCACAGGAATCCCTCATGTTGTTATTTTATAGACACACCCACTTCCCTCCTCAGCCCCTCCATATCATTAATCCCTGGCAATTACTATTTTTTCTCTATTTCTTTTTCTTTTTTTTTTTTTTTTTTGAGATGGAGTTTCACTCTTGTTACCGAGGCCGGAGTGCCATGGTGCGATCTCGGCTCACCGCAACCTCCGTCTCCTGGGTTCAAGCAATTCTCCTGCCTCAGCCTCCTGATTAGCTGGGACTACAGGCATGCACCACCATGCCCAGCTAATTTTTGTATTTTTAGTAGAGACAGGGTTTCACCATGTTGACCAGGATAGTCTCGATCTCTTGACCTTGTGATCCACCTGTCTTGGCCTCCCAAAGTGCTGGGATTACAGGCTTGAGCCACCGTGCCCAGCCCTTTTCTCTATTTCTATAATGTCATTTCAAGAATATTACATAAATAAAATAATATAGTATGTAACCTTTTTGTTTGGCTTCTTTTTCACCGAATATAATTCTCTGGATATTTGTTCAAATATTGTGTGTAACCATAATTTATTTCAAATTGCTGAGAAGTTTTCCAAGGTATGAATATACTGCAGTTTGTTTAAGCATTTACTCATTTAAAGACAGCTGAGTTGTTTCCAGTTTTGGTTATTATGGATAAATCTGCTATAAACATTCATGTACAGGTTTTTGTGTGAAAAGAAATTTTCATTTCTCTTGGGAATGCACAAGATTGCAATTTCCAGTGAAACCATCTGTGTCTGGTTATTTCTTTTTTGGGAGTTTTAAAATTATGAATTAAACTTTCTTAATAGTTATATGGCTATTCATATTATCTATTTAATACAAAACACTATTTGGTAGTGTTTTGCGTTAAAAAAAAAAAAGATCCTGGAAACCACCATTCTCAGCAAACTGACACAAGAACAGAAAGTCAAACACCGCATGTTCTCACTCATAGGTAGGTGTTGAACAATGAGAACACATGGACACAGGGAGGGGAGCATCACACACTGAGGTCTGTCGGGGGGACATAGAGGAGGGATAGCGGGGCATGGGGAGTTGGGGAGAGATGGCATGGGGAGAAATGCCAGATATAGGTGAAGGGGAGGAAGGTAGCAAATCAAACTGCCATGTGTGTACCTATGCAACAATCTTGCATGTTCTTCACGTGTTTCCCAAAACCTAAAATGCAATTAAAAAAAAGACTAAAGGCCGGGCGCGGTGGCTCAAGCCTATAATCCCAGCACTTTGGGAGGCCGAGGCGGGTGGATCACGAGGTCAAGAGATCAAGACCATCCTGGTCAATATGGTGAAACCCCGTCTCCACTAAAAATACAAAAAATTAGGTGGGCATGGTAGCACGTGCCTGTAATCCCAGCTACTCAGGAGGCTGAGACAGGAGAATTGCCTGAACCCAGGAGGCGGAGGTTGTGGTGAGCCGAGATCGCGCCATTGCACTCCAGCCTGGGTAACAAGAGCGAAACTCCGTCTCAAAAAAAAAAAAAAAAAAAAAAAAAGATCAATTTTGGCTGAGTGTGGTGGCTCATGAGTGTAATCCCGGCACTTTGGGAGGCCAACGGAGGTTGATGGTTTGAGCCCAGGAGACTGAGACAAGCCTGGGCAACATGGAGAGACCCTGTCTCTACAAAAAATACAAAAATTAGCCAGGTATGGTCTCACATGCCACACAGACAGTTTAAATTTTTATGTAATTACATTTCTTAATGGTTTGTTATGTAGGTTTCACTTTTCCTTAAGAATAACTCCCAGGTCTGAACTTGCGCAAACATTCTCCTGACGTTTTCTATTTTCATTGTTTAATTTCTGAGTATGCATTTAAAACTTCAGTTTGTCTGGAATTTATGTTGGTATACCAAGGATATATGGCTGTAATTTTACTATTGTTATTGATCCCAGAGGGATAATTAGCAAAATGTATTAAGCAAATCTTTTCCCTAAAGAAACTTGCCTCTTATTTAAAAAATTAACCTTCTTTTCTGCTACTGATTTGTTTTCTTTGTCATATACTTAATTTTTATATGTTTTAGACTATTTTATTCTACTGGTCTTTAGATTCTTGCCACCAAAATCATAATATTTAATAATTGTAATTAATAATATTTAGCTTAGCACTTTTCATAACTTATCCTTCATTGTTAATTTTTCCAGACATATTCTATTATTTGCTGTCAGATAAAAAATATTCTGTTGATATTTCATTGCTTTTACATAGCATCTTTTTTTCTTTTTTAAAATTTTTTAAATCTTAAAATGCCTACAGCACCTGGTATTCCCAGGCGATCTCCCACCCAAGTACTAACCAGGCCCAATGCTGCTTAGCTTCCGAGATCAGATGAGATCGGGTGTGTTCAGGGTGGTATGGCCGTAGATTTCTTTTTTCTTTTTTAAGTTGTCCTCAGTCTATAATACATAGCAATTATCAATGGAAAACTCCATAATATTTAATTTTCTTGTCTAGATATATGCCACATTTATTCATTTATTGAAATTTTGCTTCATTAACCACCTTCAACAAAGTAGTTTTCTTCACAGAAAGTTTTATTAACATATTTTTGGGCAATTAGCAAGGCACAGTGGCTCATGCTTGTAATTCCAGCAACTTGGGAGGCTGAGATCACTTGAGCCCTGTAGTTTGAGGCTGAGATGAGCTATAATTGCACCACTGCACTCCAGGCTGGGTGACAGAACAAGACCCCATCTCTTAAAAAAAATTTTTTTTTAGGTAATTAATTAACTATTTGGGAAAATAGGAATCAGACCTTTATATCACATACTCCAAATAAATTTCAGATGAGTTAAATAGCTATGTATAGAAAAAGAAATGATAAAAATTACTCAAAAATTTAAGTAAATATTTATCAGAGCTTAAAATAGGAAAGGATTTCCTAAACTTGTAAGTAGTGCAAAAAAATGCAAAGGAAGCTTCTATAACTTTGATTGCATGAAACTTTTGAATAGAATAAAAAAGTTGATGGCAAAATCATGGGAAAAAATACTGATACATATATAAAGAACAAATGATAGGCTGGGTGCCATGGCTCATGCACCGAATCCTCTCATCCTAGGTGAGAGGATTGCTTGAGCACAGGGGTTTGTTATCAGCCTGGATAACACGGCAAAATCTTGTCTGTACAGAAAAAAAAAAAAAAAGTTGCCAGGTGTGGTGGCATGTGCCTATAGTCCCAGCTACTTGGGAGGCTGAGGTGGGAGGGTCACTTGAGCCTGGGATGTTGAGGCTACAGTGAGCCACGATCATGTCACTGTACTCCAGCCTGGGTAGCAGAGCGAGATCCTGTCTCAAAAAAAAAAAAAAAAAAAAAAAAAAAGATAAATGTCCTTTGGTAGATTATATCATTGTTCCTAACTCCTTACATTCTCACTGCAAGAAAATTACAAATTGCCTAGTTTATCATGTGACTTGGCAAAGCCTCCAAGTAAAATATGTGGAATAAACATATAGGCTCTTCTGATGTTATAATTGGCCTCAGGACTTGCTTTAGCCAATGGAAATTTCGCAGATATGATAAAAACAGAGGCATTACATATGCTTGCATGGTTTGCTTTGGTCTCTGATGCTTCTGCCATCTGTCTTGGGATGAGCATGTCCTGAGAAGACACTGGTCCCAGATTGAGAGATGTGGAGCAGACCTGTCTCCATGTAAGCTTGAAGCAGAGGTCCCCTGCCATTCTGCAGGTCTACAAAGAAAGAATGACACTTGCAATTGTAAGCCACTAGCATTTCTTCAGTTGTTTGGAGAATTGTGATGGAAATACAGTCACGGATAAAGGACTTTCACAATTAATCAAGGAAGTGCTGAAAACTTCAATTGAAAGTAAGCAAAAACAAACAAACAAAACTCAAAAAAGCAAGACTAGCCTAATATCCGTCTCCATCTTTTTCCCTCTCAGTCAATCACTGTCTCACTCTCATGCATATGTAGGCACAAAATGTAAAATGCCAACAAACACTCAGAACAGTGTTCAATCTAATTATCAAACATATTCAGATTCAAATACCACTGACATATTTCTGAACTTCTCAACTTACTGCAAGGGTAGTTTCAACTGAATATTGCAAATGGAGTTGAAACTACTGTTTTCAAAAAATAAAAGAAAGAAACTATCATTTTCTCTCTCTTTATTTATTTATTTATTTATTTTTGTGGTAACTGATGAACTGGTCTCTCCTAATCTACTCTGATTATTCACTAATTCATATTTGCTCTTTTTTTTTTCTTTTTTTTTTTTTTCTAGACAGAGCTTTGCTCTTGTCGCCCAGGCTGGAGTGCAATGGCATGATCCTGGCTCACTGCAACCTCTGCCTCCTGTGTTCAGGCGATTCTCCTGACTCAGCCTCCCAAGTAGCTGGGATTGCAGGCACCCTCCACCATGCCAGACTAATTTTTTGTGTTTTTTGTAGAGATGGGGTTTCACCATGTTGGCCACACTGGTCTCGAACTCCTGACCTCAGGTGATCCACCAGTCTTGGCCTCCCAAAGTGCCCAGCCTCATTCGCTATATTACAGCTAAGAAGGCATATTTCAAAATTCAGATCCAATCACGTCACCTCTATTCAAAACTCCCTAGCGGTCTCTTGACCATTATCTTAAACCACTCTCATAATAGTCTACTCATTTCAGTGCATTGATCTCAGTTTGTAAAATTTTAGTTTGTATTATTTGTTCAATATCTACTACTTATACCAAATCACACACACCAAGAGATCAGAGATCAGGTCTGTTTTTGCTTGCCGTTGTATTCCTAGATAGACACTTGATAAATATTTGTCTAATCATTTAATGAACATTATTGTTTTGTAATTAATTGGGATGATTAAACAAAGTTAACACTCAGTGTTGGCAAAACTACAATAAAAAGGTACTCTCAGAAAATGCTGCTAGCATTTTAAATTAATGTTATCCTTCTGCAGAAAATTTTCATAACTTACCAGATCTATAATTTTCATGTCCTTCAACTCAGTCATTTAACTTTTAAGAATTTAACCTGCTATAATAATTAAGGAGGCACTGCACAATTATGGAAAATGAAACAGTATATATTATAGAAAAAATCAGAAGATACCCAATGCTTATAAAATTGTTAGATTATGATATGACCAAATGATAGGAGATTATGTAGCCATGGAAAACTGCTCATGATACTGTTTAGTGAAAGAAAAAGGAAGATGCAAAATAAAATATTTAAAATTGCTTGTACTATGTAAAACCAAATCAAATAAATACACATTCCTATAAAAACTTGAAAAAAATCTAAATTTGAGTAAGATTAAATTTAAGAACAAATTTTAATAATGTATTTATAATTTTTATCATGTTTTCTTTAACAGAAGCATACGGTTTTATAATTATGAAAAACTATCTGGGCCGGGCGCAGTGGCTCAAGCCTGTAATCCCAGGACTTTGGGAGGCCGAGGCAGGTGGATCACGAGGTCAAGAGATCGAGACCATCCTGGTCAACACGGTGAAACCCCGTCTCTACTAAAAATACAAAAAACTTAGCTGGGCATGGTGGTGCGTGCCTGTAATCCCAGCTACTCAGGAGGCTGAGGCAGGAGAATTGCCTGAACCCAGGAGGTGGAGGTTGTGGTGAGCCAAGATTGCGCCATTGCACTCCAGCCTGGGTAACAAGAGCGAATCTCCGTCTTAAAAAAAAAAAAAAGAAAAATGATCTGAATAAAACTGATAAAATACTAGTTTGTGCATTTTGTGCATTTTAACCTACTGTTTTTGGTATGTTTACTGTACTATCAGACTTTCAGTATAATTTTGAGTATTTTACTTGAATGTGCTTGAGTATTACATATTTATCTCACCTCCACACATCTTTATTAGCTATTTGATTAATTAATGCCACTTTCTTTTTTCTTTTTCTTTTTTTTTTTTTTTGAGACGAGTCTTGCTCTGTCGCCCAGGCTGGAGTGCAGTGTGGCTCATTCTCAGCTCACTGCAACCTCCGCCTCCCAGGCTGAAGTGATTTTCCTGCCTCAGCCTCCCAAGTAGCTGGGAATACAGGCATGCACCACCATGCCTGGCTAATTTTTGTATTTTTAGTAGAGACAGGGTTTCACCATATTGGCCAGTCTAGTCTCGAACTCCTGACCTTGTGATCTGCCTGCCTCTGCTTCCCAAAGTGCTGGGATTACAGGCATGAGCCACCATGCCCAGCCGTCATTTTCATTTTTTTACTTGTTGGTTTTCTAAACATGTAATCTGCAAAACTACAGTTAGGGAGTGGGCTAAACTGCTATAAGAAAGAGACCCCAAAATGTAATCCAGAGTTGAGTGGTCCAGAAAGTTGGGTGGCTCTGGTTTACTAGAAAGTCAAGGACTCAATTCCTTCCATCTTGTTCTATTTTCTGCGGTTGTCTTTACCTGATCAATTCTGGGCAACTAGGCTTATCACATTCCGGTCTATAGGAAAATGGAAAGAATAGAAGCAGAAGACCATTTCCTTTAAAATAAATGACATCGAGGTTGCAAAAATCACTTCAGCTCATCTTCCATTGTTTACAACTTAGTCAGATGGTCACGCCTAGCTTTAAAGGAGTCTGGATAATATAGTCTCTAACTGGGCACCATACGGCTAGTGAACATACTGTTACTATAAGGGAAGAATAAATTTGGGAGGAAAACTAGAAGTCTACACCTTGGGTCAAATCACATGATGCATAGTGCTAGATTATTCTTTAGAATGGCTGTAAAAGTTTATGCCTTCTCTAGCATTTTATAGTGGTGGCTACTGCACCATTTCCAGCACTGAGTATTATAATTTTAAATTTCCCCATTTATAGATCAAAATGGTAATTTTTGTTTTAATTTGCATGAAGTTGAAATTTTTTTTTTTTTCTCATCTGTATCTCTTTTTCTGTTTGGTTATCTATTGTGATGTTAAAAAAAAAACACATCCACAAATTCCTTGATACTCTTTCTTTACAAGATAGAGCTTAATTTTTCTCCTCTTGAGTACAGATTGGAATTAGCGGCTTGCTTCTAAGGAGCAGAATGTAGTGGAAGCGATGGTGTGTGATTTAGAGACTAGGTTATAAAAGGGATTCGTGGTTTCCTTTTTGCACTCTTTCTTGGTCTGCTTTCTTTGGGGGAAGCTAGCTGCTATGTCATGAGTTCGCTCAAATGGTCCTGCATGGAGGTCTATGGGATGAGGAAGTGAGATCTCCTGCCAATAGCCTTGTGAAACAGATGCTACTTGGTCATATTGCATTATCCTTTCTATTGCTGCAAAAATTCAACTGGTTAATAGCTTATTTGGAATTTGCATTGATTTTCATAATTAGGCTGATCTGCAATCTTTTTCTTTCTTACAAAGCCCTTGTCAAGTTTTAGTATCCAGAT